GGCATAACTCAATTTTTGGGACACCCTGTATACATTAAAAATATCATCAAAAAATAGGAGTTCATGGCATGCATTCAAAAATGGGCATTCAACAATCAGTAATCGACGTGTCCGAGCGTTTTTTCGAAAAAAAGAAGATTGATTTTTCTAAGATTCCCACTGTGAAAATAAATAAACAATAAAGGCACTCGTATCTATAGTTTTATTATTAAAAAAAACTTTTTTGACAATAATTTGGTAAAAGTTTATTAGCTTGTACCTTGATTTATAAGAGGCCGAAACAAAACACTTACATAACATAAATATTTTTGGAATCGTAGATTTGCATTTTCAATCACTGTGCGACGTCATCCGCACGCATCGTATATATACCTAATTTAAATCTTTTTAAATTATTCTGGAAACGGATTTCCGTGTCTACGATGCGTCCGATACATATGTTTGTGCGTTATCTCATTTAAAATGGAGGCCAAATAATTAATTTTCGTCGGCCGTTCCGCGGTGTGGTCCCGATACGGTTCGTTCCGCATGCGAAGTTAAAGTGCGCGCTTACCTTAACTCTCCACTTCCTTCTTGTTAATATGTAAGAAACCTATCCGTTTTTCCTAAAAGCAAAGTCGTAAATCTTTGGTACCTTACCGTACCTGTTCGTTCTAACATATACTTTGGACTACCGCGTTTCGCCAAAGTGCTTAGACTTGTTCGCGTATGCATAAACATACGCGGGAAAATAGCCGTTTGATGTTAAAATCGCAAGTTTGGTAGCCGATACTTTTCAGCAGAAAATTGCAATTAAATAGGGTGTATTAATATTATGACAGTTATTGGTATTTCATATAGATTTGTCTAGACAGTGGAGCAAGGCTTTGAAAAAAAAGAGGAATAAAAAGGACGCTCGTCAGCGTCAAGTGGTTGGTGGTTAAAAAATGAGAGACGCCAATTTAAAATTAAAAAAGTGAGACATTGGGGAAATATTGTATTTCGGTAAATATTTTCTTATTTAGAAACATTTAACTATAAATTTTAATACTAAAATAATGTTTTTTTTTTTTTTTTTTTTTTTTTTTTTTTTTTTTTTTTTTTTTTTTTGTTGTAAATAATATTTTGGAAATATAACCGTAATTACCTGTACTATTACAGGGTGTTCGTTATTACAATGTGTCATTTTCTCACGCACCCCCCATAAATTGTTTAGTTTTATTGCCTAAAAAACAAAGTAATGTAAAGATGCAAGTCTGTGTTATATTTATTATATTAGTTTTTATTAATTTACTGTAATATTTTGTAATTTAAATTTAAATTAAACAAGTTTTTTTTTTATATTAAACAGCATGTTGTTTGACCAGCGGATCTGAAGCAACGGAAGGAATGCGAGAAAGAAAATCGATATTGCCACGGTTATGCTATAAAATTGGCAAAATTGCCAACATGAGAGCTATAAATTTAAATATATTTTTATTAATTAAATGTGTAACATTTATTCTGAAGTATATTACTAAGGAATTTAAACGTAGTTCATATTGTTTCGATATGTTTTTAATTTAAATAACTTATTCTTTGCATTCTGTATAATCGCTTATTATGAAAAGTTGAAGATTTTTGTTCAACGATTCATTGGCAAACCGGAATCGCCGCGCATGGCCGCCTAATCATCGAACATGATTGGCGAAGTACGTCACAGAATTTGTTACAACGCGGTTGCCATGGCTTTTACGCCTTTCCTATTCGCTTGTTTTATCCCCAACTTCACGGTCCCTTCTGAAAAGAGTAGGAATATTGAATACTATTGAAATATCCAGTGGCGGTGTTATTCTTTTGATCATTATAACTTTATTTATTATTTTATACCGGTTATCCTAAACTTTAATTCCTTCATATTTTGTATATTTGGAATAGTTAAGTTGTGTTTTATTGTTTTGTTTATCTGTTATCTTGTATATGTTCGTAGTTTTTAATTATTAATATCAGTTTATAGTAATATTGTTTTAAAAATGAATAAATTGGTTAAGGGTAAGACGCTACATAGTCAGACAAGAGAAATAATAGCTAATTTGTATAGGTAAGTAGAATAAATAAAGAGATTAGAAATTATTAAAATTAAAATATATTTTTTTCTTGATAGATTTAACCTAAATATTATTAGCTAAACTAAAAAATAAATATAAAATAAAACGTGGATGAAAAAATCTAATTTGGTTTTTTTCCGTGTTTCAATAATAGGGTTGCGACGTGAACGGGACAGGGAAGCTACAGGAGAGTTCGCCTTAACATTGAGCCGGCCTTAAAAACCGTAAAAAACATTGTAAGCGGATATTTCTTTAATACCGGACTCGGATTTAGCGTATCGGCTATAAAAAGATTCACAAAGAATTAAAAAAGGCTGAAACTACCCCCGATAAAATGATATCAAGCTCTGGGAAGAAACGACCACGTGAGATTGCTGTTGAAACGTCTGACTTTTTCCAAGTGTTCAGGAGATTTGATAATATTTGATTTTTATCTCGATCTCTAAACTCGTCCCACAAGTTCACATTTAGAAAGCTTTTGCAAAATTGCAGGAAGAATCGAATTTCCTTTGACAGGGAAACGCTAAGGGGGTCTATTTGAGAATGAATTTCTTCTTTGGCGTATAATGATATAAACAGATATATATATACGGATCGCGCAAGCATATCATATAATTGGCAAGAGTGGAGAGATGAAGTATCTACGCGATCATCGAAAAATATATGCGTAATTAATAGGGATAAAAATAATGGGTCGACATGAACTAGACACTTTAAAAAGTGCTTGCGAGCTATACCATATATGAGATATATGAGACATATTTGGATCTAGCTGGTGAAGATAAATTATGTTTTAGATATATAGAGAATTATTATATAGATGTGTTTTGAAGATTTTTTGCTGGAAAATAGTTATATCTAAAATTTTGTATTATAGAAACAAATATAGTTAGTACAGATATATTAAATATATACCTCAAGATGATTCAGTCCTTGGAATCATCTGCTGATGGCAGCCATGGTTAGCGAAACTGCGTCCAAGTGTATAATTATAAAAGTTGTTTTGGTGTTCTGTATCGTGTAACTGATTCAGTGTTTATTTTTCTATTGGCTCGTGTAAGCATCGCGGAGCGAGTGGCGCGTATTCCAATACAGGTTGTTATAACCCTCAGCTGGTGTTATTGTTATTCACTTTATTTTTACAAACACAGACACACGAATAATAATAAACTGATTCAAAATATTTATAGGATTAATAGACTATTTCAGTGTTTATCTGCTAACTCAACAGATTCAAACAGCATAAAGTTTTTGAAAAAATTAATTTAATAAAAAAAAAAAAAAAAAAATCATCATTATTTTATAAAACCGTACGCCCATGCCTATTTAATGAATGAAATTGGGCGTGTTTTGTTTACAACTGCGCTCCCCTGCCGATACCAGATATAGATGGATGACGTATGAGGAAGCATAAGAAATTAATAAATGTGTACACACGATGTTAGAACAGAAAACTAACGAATTCCTAGTTCTTTGTTCTTCGGCCGGAACGCCCACTCGTCGGTGCCAACTGAGCGAGTATTAGACCTCGCGGCGCTATATCGCTATGTGTATTACAACGCTTAGAATTGTAGGAGAGTTTGTATTTAGTTTTAAAATATCTGGCTTGATATTGCTAACATGATTAGCGAAAAGCGCGTTCCAGTGTAGAAGTAAAAATGTTTTGGTGCTATTGTGATGATTTAGTGTTTTTTTTTTTTTGAAATTTATGATTTGAAGATGAACACCAAAGGTTCCAAATTCCCCAACGTAACGCTTAAATAATTCAACTATCACTACAACCGGAGGATGATAAAACTTGCCCGCACCGGACGGTTCGTTTCCCATTTAAATTACATAAGGATTCTTGCCGAAAGCTACGTTTTTCTTTGCAAATATTTTTTTTTTCTCTCGATCTTATTCTCTCGCAGCCCGGCAGCCATGACTATCACATGTTCTTGCACAGAATTAAACGCTCTACAAAAAGGTCTCTTACAATTTTTCGATAAAGCTACTGCTTCAAAAGTTATTCACGATTAAAATTAACCTAACCTAACCACTCGATAAATTCCTAAATTCTTTCAACTTTTTGACAAAATTATGATTATTTTTGAAAAAGTTAATCTATTACTGTAAAAATATACAATTCTGATGGTGTTAAGGTTGGGAATTATGACATCTTCAAGTCTAATGAAGTTTAAACCATTTATATATAAGTATAGCTGATTTATTTTAATAAACATTCTTTAGTTGGATTTTGATATTTCTTCTTATACTCGCTTACAATCTGAATCACATACTCGTATTGTTTTTCATCTTCACTTCTAGATAAAATATTAATGGACTCTTCTGATAATTTAACAGCTCTTTCTGCAGTATCATTAACTACTCTCAAATTTTTCACAATTTCTAAGCCTCTCATATATCCAGGATCTTTTAACCATTCGGTACTGTCTAACTGCCATCTGCAGAAAACGTGTATCAATATTAAACCGTGTAAAAAATTGTAACAAATTTGAATTTATGAAATAATCAATATTTTTGTTTATAAACAATTTAAAATCATCGTGATTAAAAATGAAGCGTCTAGTAATAGCTTTTAAAGCTTCAAGCATTTTCTGCCTTATATACTATAATAAGTATTAGAATTAACTACCTGTCATGCATTCAGTATTTTTCATGATTCAAAATTGTTCATCATGGTATCTTCAAAGTTGCTTTTTTTCAAATAATAGATTAAATTTTTCAAAAATAATCATAATTTTGTCAAAAAAGTTGAAAAATTTAGGAATTTACCCAAGTAGCATTTGGACGTTATCTAACGTCGGGTATACGTCGCGTTCAATAAACCCGACGTCGGGTACCAACGTCGGTTCGACCGCCTGACGACCCTTATTTGCACCTAAATGGGGAATACAGATTCGGGTCGCCTCGACGTCGATATATGACCTAATAGGGAATGTAATTCTACCAATTACCAACGTCATATTACGTTGGATTTTAGTTACTTAAAATTCGTCGCTATGCACTTACGTTACGTTTGGTTTCATATTCGCTACCAAGAATACATAAAAACCTAACCAAACTACCTAATTACAAATGGATTCATAATCACTCCTCGAATAGAACTATAAGTGCCTACCTAATTTCATATTATAATAATTCTGAATCATTAATCCAGACATCAGTTTTGTCAACGGAAGTCACTTTTTTGATATATCTGATTAAAATACTCCGGAAAACAACGAGCGCCTTCAAAAGTAGGTAATGAGTAGGATTTATGAAATAAAAATATCTATAAAAAAGTAACTTGCAAAATATATTTTTTATTTTCTAGCTGGTTTAATCATAAAATTGTACTGTGGTTCCCCCCAAACTCAACCTTCTCAATATTATTCTACTAGAAATCGGAATGTGAATATAAATTTTAAAAACAAAAAATGATTTTAAAATGGCTGACAATCGGATACCTGTTAAGAATGGCGGATTTCTGTGTCCGACTTAATATGAACTACCAATATACCAATTCCGACCGGGTCTCCAACATTAGTCGTCTCACTCGACCGAAGTCATCAAACCGGACGACCGGCAATCGTATTATGACGTATATAATTCCAACGTACGCCACGTAACCTCACTTTGCGTATCAGTGATTTGTGGATGTGTGCAACTATATTTTAGTTATTGTTTTCTCTTTAAAACAATGGGCAGCTACTTTTTTAAGATAGTATATACAAAATTTAAAAGAATTGGAACCAGTACCTCACATGTGGGAGGAGGATGGGGTCTGCTGGTTTCCTAAGCTAAAAAATGAAATTAAGTTGCACCAGTGTAATGCAGTATCTCTTCCGGATAAAAAGCATTCGTGGGTGGAGGGAAGACATCACTACTACTATTATTATTTTGCAAAAGCCTCGACCTCTTTCTGTAAAATGTAGATGAATGTCTAAATGTCTTTTTAGTGTTTTTTTAGGCATAATAAAAAAAATTAAGTTTGTTTACAAAAACTTTTTATTAGGTTATGTTCATGATGTTTATTAGGCCGCAAATGCTACTTAATGGGTTGTATTTACGGACGTAAATAGAGATACGTAAATTAGGTTAAATATATGAACATAAAATACAACAAAATATAATTGGACGTTACTTTAGGGATTATCAGGAGACGTATCCTATTCGGACAACAGGTAGACGTCGGGCTAGTTCAAGTATAGGTACGTCGTGCAAGCCAACGTTGGAACGACGTTGGGAAATTAATAAAAATGGTACGTTGTTATTTTGTACGTCGACAGATCGTTGGATTTACCGACTCGGATCCAACGACGTCACTTTTAATAGGAAAGCGACGTCACAAGTCGTATCACCAGCACCCGACCTAAATTTGCACAAAGTCTGACGTCGCTTCAGGTCAGATTTAGTTCGAAGTCAGATAGATGCTACTTGGGTACCGAGTGGTTAATTTTAACCGTGAATAACTTTTGAAGGAGTAGGTTTATTGAAAAATTGTAAGGGACCTTGTGTAGAGCGTTCAATTCTGTACAAGAATGTGTGATTGTCATGGCTGTTAGAGAACAAGATCGAGAAAAAAAATATTTGCAAAAAGTGGCAAATTCCTATGTAATTTAAAAATGGGAAATGAATCGTCTTTGGGGCAAGGTTTATTTTGAATATTAACGGTTTACAATGGTCTGTTATTTTTTTTAGACAATAAACTATTTAGAGGGCGTCGTGAGAGAAATGATCAACTTTGTAAATAACGGATACACTAATAAATATACGCAGGAAAATTATCATTTAATGTTAAAATCTCAAGTTTGTACCGATACCACCCGATACTTTACAGCGGGACATAAATTACAATTAATAGGAGTGTAATTAATATTATGACAGTTATTGGTATTGCATATAGATTTGTCTAGACGTTGAACAAGCTTAAAAAGATGATAATTATGATTCAAAATATACATTAAAAATGATATACCTACTAAAAATTGTAAACATTTTTGGTAAACTCTGTCTCAAATAGTTTCTTAAAAAAAATATTTTTTTTAAAAGGTCCCATAAATTTTATATCTCCGAAACGAAAGTTTTAAAGAAGACATACTGTATCAACAAATTAATTTACTGCTCAGAGAAAACTTAAGCCTTTTTTTGATTCAAATCATTTTAATGACTTAAGTCATTTGATTTTAAGTCATTTTTCGAAAGCTCACTTAAGATTTAAGTATATTTCAAAATGATTGGTGATTTAAGTTTTTATTCTGAAATAGAAAAAGATTTAAGTCTTTTTAGAAAAGTCATCAAAAAGATTTAAGTCTTCAAGTTTTATAGAATGCTTACCTCAGATTTTTTTTTTATATTTTTATAATAAACTCTTAACAGCAGCATTTCTTTTTCACACATGTAGGACAGTACACACCTAGTCTTCTTAGTTCCTGAAATATAAGGCGAATTTTAAATTGTTGCATTTTCGACCCTCTTCGTATCTCAGTTTTAGTTGCGTCGCTGAATTTTACTTGGAAATCTCTATGGAGCTCAATTTTCACCTCTTGGTCTTCTTGGCACATAATGGCCGAGATATGAGGGGAGTTAAAAAATGCAACAATTTCAATTTTGCGCTGTATTTCAGGAACTAAAAGGGCTAGGACAAATATGTGTGTACCATTTTTAGTCTCATAAAAAAGTAGCATAGTAATGTGAAAACCTCATCTTTGTACTTCTGTTCATAAACGAAAAACCCTGTAAAACACACGAAAGTGGGTCATCCTGTATAAAATACCACAAAATTTAATTTAATAAAAAAAAGTGTTTTAAAATAATTTGTGCTTTTATGTTCTTTATGCTTTTACGTTTATTTTTTATTGTTGATTATATTAGTTATTCTGAAAATAAATCGTTTTGTTTTAAGTGGTTTTATTCTCATCTGTATCTAAAATAAATTAATAATATGTAAAACTTGGAAAATAAGTTGGTTATAATAATGGTTTTATAATTCGCAAAATCTCTATTTATTTATCTAGTAATGCTAAAACACTCTATTTTAAAGTCGATTAGAGAAAATAGTATATATTAGCTCCAAAACGATACAGAAATGGAGTACTTAGTGCAAAGACTTACCCAGGAGCGGATGTTGGGTCAGACCATAATCCCGTTGTGGCACGAATCCGAATGAGGCTCAAAAAAATTGTTCGGAAGTTCACTAAAAAACCCAACATGAGTTTACTGAGAAGTGAGGGACAACGACAAGACGTATCCAATAAACTCAACGAGCAACTAGGAAAGATCCAACAGCCAAATGCCTCTCAAACCCCTGGACTGGAAGACCACAATAGCATAGAGAACATCTGGAAGAAAATTAAAGAAGCGCTGCAGGAAACACAAGAACAACTAACAACAAATAATAACGAGAAGCACCATAAAGCGTGGATGACTCAAGAAAGTTTAGACCTCATGGAAAAGCGGCGAAGTTTTAAAGGCACAGACCCTCAGAGATATAGAGACACTCACAGGCTTATCAGAAATAAAATCAAAGAAGCTCAAAGAACTGTGGATGACGGAGAGGTGCCGCTAGAAGTCGAGAGCTCCACCAAAACATGACTTGTTTAACCTACATAAAAAAGTCAAAGAAGTCACTGGGAAACACAGACCTCGAACATGTATCAAAAATCGTGGACGGTGAGAATAAATCAATCCTAACCGAACAAAAACTAGAGGAGGTATGGACCAATTACATAAGGGAACTGTTCGATGACAGGTGGCCCCCTCTTTTCACTCCCAAATAGAAACTGAAAATAGTCCAGATATAATGATCTCAGAAATCGAGAGAGCTTTGTTGTCCTTAAAGTAAATTTATAGTATCTTAAGTTTATTTTTTAAATATAACATTAATAAGTTTTTTCATTAAGAAAACATTTTTATCATATATTAGCTTATATTGTAGGACTGGACAACATCTACCCAGAATTGATAAAACTAATAACAGGAGACAATTTAAAGTTATTGATAAACTGTCTTCAATTCTGTATACAATACCGGAAATATGTACCGCAGGACTGGGCTAAGGTCGACATTTATACCTATTCCTAAAAAAACTGGTGCAAAAAAGATGTGATGAGTTTCGTTTAATAAGTACTGATGACTCAAGTCCTAAAGCTGTTTTTAAAGGTTCTGCATAATCGAATCCGAAGAAAATGTGAGCTAGACATAAGTGAACAGCAAATGGGAAGTTTCGCGAGGGACTTGGGGACGAGAGAGCCCCTGTTTGCGCTATCGGTGCTTTTGCAGCGGTGCAGAGATCAACGAAAGGAGGTACACCTATGCTTCATAGACTACATGCAGCGTATTCTAGACTGCGTCAACCACAGGAATTGCTGAGCATCCTTGAAAGAAGAGGCTTGATACTTCAAGACCTGAAAATTATCCAAAAGTGTGCGTTGAAAGGAGACAAAACAATTTTTGTGACCCATAATTTGTTATTCGAACACCACTTTTCCTTATCGGGTCGTTGACGTTGACTTGTCGCCATTTTATTTCTTTTGTTTACACGCTGCATTTTGCTTTTGCAAATTTTATACACAAATTATTTAGGCAAATATAGGTTTTAATAAAACTCCTCGAACAACAAGTAGCGACAGTAAAACTACAGGACACTGAAACAACAGCAATACCTATCAAGCGTGGAGTTAGGGCAAGGATGCGTATTGAGCCCTATGCTCTTCAATATGTACTCCGAACTAATATTTCGAAATGCGCTTGGGGGATCAGAAGACGGCATAAAAGTGAATGGCAGGCTGATTAACAACATGAGATATGCTGATGATACCGTCGTTATTGCAGACACCACTGAGGGCCTGCAAAGACTTCTTGATAGACTGTCCTCGGTGGGCGACTCAATGGGTCTCAGAATAAATACAAAACAAAAGCAAAGTCATGGTGATAAATAGAGATGCAAGACAGGCAATGAGGTAGTCGTAGGTGGGACACCAATAGCAAGAGTATCAAAGTTTAGATATTTGGGCAGTTGGATTAGTGAAGACCTAAACCCAGACATTGAGATCAGAGCTCGAATTGAGATGGCTAGATCAAACTTCCTAAAATTGCGGAACCTACTTTGCGATAAACGTCTCAACATCCATATAAAAGACAATCTCGTCAAGTGCTACGTACTTTCCACACTTCTCTACGGGTTGAGTCGTGGACACTCAAAGTAAGCGCAATGAATAAGTTGGAAGCATTTGAGATGTGGGTATATCGCAAGAATGCTGAGAATGCCATGGACTGACCGTGTGTCTCTGAATGAACGAGTTCTAAAACCAAATGAACAAGGAACCGAGAACTCCTCGACATAATAAAAAAAAGAGGAAAGCAGCCTATTTTAAATAGTTATCATGAGACATAGCAAGTATGAATTCTTCAGCTCAACATCGAGGGTAAAATTGAGGGAAAGCGCGGTATGGACGACGGCAATCGCTCCTGGCTGAAGAACATCAAAGAGATTGGACAGGCTCAGACTCCCACATACTTTGCTGAGAAGAAGCGAAAAATAGAGAGGAATTTGCCATGGTTGTTGCCGATCTTCACTGAATGGAGAAGGCACTTTTCTCTTGATCTAGCTTGTAACATTATTTTTTAATTTTATTATTGTGGTGAAATTAATTCTGTTGTATATTTGATATTGATATTAAACATATTTAAAAATGGTGTATTTTTGTGGTTTTGTGTATGTCATAATTAAAAATAAATGAAGAAATAAATTTTTTATCTTTTTAAACTTCCCGCCATGCGTGACAATTTAGTCCGTAGTTCCTACAAGCAAAATTGGGGGCGCTAGTAGCAGTAGACTTGTCAACAGTGTCAAATTTAAACGTCAATTTCACTTTCCAATATTTAGCAAGGCGCTCGCACTTCTTCTTGTGTATGTGTTTTGTGAGTAGACTGGCCAGCCGGCTGTTGTGTTGTGGTTTGTCATAGAGCTGATATTTGGGGGTTGAGAGTCTTTTGACTATAAACGTTGCAAGTACTGTAAGGCAACGGGTCGTTTGACCGGAAGAAAACCTCTGGTGACGTCTTTCCTTCGAGGTTGGTCTTGAAAGTTTGAGGTCTCCCTTGTCTTCTCGATTGACACGATGCGGCGTTGGGGTAGAGAGACTAGTGAGGTACCCCAATTAGCTTATTCGATTGGGATGCGAATCTGTTTAGCGACAGAGTTGCGTCCGGGGAAAGCCCCTATACTATTTCAGGTGACACTAGCTAGTTGTTGAAGATTATTAACCAATATATAACCGAATGATATTTGAATTAGATGGAAAATATGGAATGGGATATATTGAATAGAATATATCAGTGGCTAGGGGGCGGAGTACCCCCGGGTGAGTCTCACTATTTAATTATTAATTTTATCCAGATCAGTAAATGTTTGTTTTGTTATTTTCATGTACAATGAGAGAGTGCTTGCCAATGACCAACTAAATGGATATTTGAGGCGAATTTGCATTGTGAGACCCGGTTGAGTAAGCCCCAGAAATAAGCGATTTTACAAATATGATACTTAGTAAGAAAAAAATATAAAATGCCCTAAATGGTAGGTAATACAAGAAAATTAATATTAACATTTAAAAAAAGGTACTTATATTGTATGTTGTTGTCTTGACTTGAAATTTATATTGATTTAAGTCATTTTACTGATTTAACTTGCAGATCATCATGATTTAAGTCAAAAATATGGACTTAAGTCATAAAAACGACTTAAATACCGTTATATTGACTCAAGTCTTTACAAAAATGGCTCGAAATAAAATTATTTAAGTCAAAAACTTAAAACTTAAATAATTTGAACTTTATGTTGAATTTGACTTAAAATTTAAATAATTTTGATTTTAGAAATGACTTAAGGCTTACGTCTTTTTAAAACAGACTTATTGCAGCTCTCATTTCTATGTAAAATTGAACGCTCTACAACTCTTATCTGAACTTTTTTTCTAATCCTTGCCGTTTTTCCGAAATTTTGAAAAAATAATTTTATTTATTTATTTCACCCCTTCCCGGGGGTGAATTTAAAAAAAATCTTTCTCAACTCATTTTTAGAGATCTTTTTAAGTAACTTATATCAAAAATTCAAGTTTTTCCCAAACCTAAGTTTGTTGATATGCTCCTTGCTTAATATATTTATTCAAAGGTAATAATAATAATAATCAAAATGCTTACCTAGGATCGCCATGTTGACCTTTACTAGACACTATTCCTTCGAAGGGCTGTGAAAACGACAGATGGACGTCCATATGATCTTTTCCACACATCACCTCCAAGGACTGGATAGCGGGCATTCCATCAGGTCTGTCCATCGGCCACAGTTCACCTCCACCACCCCCTCCGCCATCGAGAATATTTAATACTGTATTGTATATAACTCTTTATTTATAGCATCTGGCTAGCATAAAATAATACAAATTAATAACAAATATTTTTTTTTTTATTAAAATAATTTCAATAAGCCATATTAAAATAATTAAAGTCCATACCTATCACAGCACAATTGTTTGTTTAACATATTCAATACATTTTCTTTTTAAATTGAGACAATGTTCCACATGTTTTTATATGTTCTGGCAGCTCATACTGCTTTATACCTTTATAATATAAACTATTTTGACTATAATTGGTGTTTGACATATTTAAATAAAAATTCTAGACCTTGTATTATGATTATGGATGTCCCTAACAAAAGTACAATTATTAAGAAGATGTTTGGGTAATAGATCATTCAACATTTTGTATATAAACACCATTGTATTATGTGTTACCGTTTGTCTTACACTTAACAAATTTGTACTTTTTAACATATCCAGTCTACTTGTAAATTTATTTCATCCTATGATTGTTCGAAGGGCTTTGTTTTGCTTTTTTTGCAATACATCAATTTCAGAGTTATTCATTAAAAACAAAAGTGTCGAACAAAAATAGAGATGTGGTGCTATGATGGTTTTATATGCTGTCAGCTTTAAAGCTTCCTTTTCGAGATACAGGGTGTTAAAGTTACTTAAAAAAGAAAAAAAAATTAGATATTTGAAAAACTATTTAATCGATTTTGATATAACTTGACCCTTTTATAATACTTGCTATGGGACTTAATTTGATCTAATTAGATTTAAGTTTAATGGCCAGCGGCGGCGGTGGGGCATCACTGTTAAATTATTTTAAAGGAAAAAATAGGCACGCC